GAGGTTGCAAATACTTGTACAATTGCTGAACCGAAACTGTTAATTCCTTTCTCAGGTAGCAGCCATGGCTGTGCTGTGCGTACAGCCAGAACCGAGTTACCGGCCGCTGATAACCGATGTTCTTCACTCACTTGTTCCATTGGTTCCGGTAGAGCTAGGAGGGACTCTCCGGTTAACCCGATGATTGATAATAGGCAACGTCCAAATACATATTTATAGTTTGCCTCGTTTTATCTGTATAGTATTGTCATCCGAACATTCAAAAGTTTGGGGGTGTAAGAAAGTGAGATTAGAGATCTACTAGGGTTGTTGAGTTTATAAATTCCACGTCACGTTTATGACTAGTGTGTATTATTGTTATGTAGAGATTGACGAGAGTTTGTGTTTGAAAAATTGAAAGAGTAATATATTAACACATAAGAGTAATAGGTAGGATTACTTATGTACATAATGAAAGAAAAAAGCGTCATGGAACACCAACAACGAAAAGACCCTCTTTCTATATACACGTATGAGTGGTTCGATTTTTGAATGTTTCTAAAATTGCATTTTTTTGTTAATGTCAACCAAATAAATTTAGTGATGTTAAATTGGTATGTTTCTAAACTTTATATAAACGTTTCTTATAATTGTATACATACAAAAAACATTAGAATGAGGAATGCATTATAAAGACATTGGCACGTTGTGCGTTACCTTTGCGTTTTGTATACTGTTGTCTTTTGATTCCACAAACCAAAATAATTCGTAACTTTGACCATTTCAAACAAATACGTTTCAGTTGACGTGCAAATAGTACTATGATGCTAACTCTTGTTTGCAGAGTTACTTTAGAATTTACAAAATTAGATCCATTTGTAAATAAGTGCAAATCTTATGTTGCTTAATCATGTTTGCAAACACAATCTACCAAAATAAAATTTTAAAAATATTATTTCAAACAACTTTCAAGGTTTGAGAACATTTAAAGCCTAAATGCATTTCCATTGTGCTGTTAAACACTTTATATGAGTTTCATCAAAACAAAACAACACGAGAGTAAGAAATAGAGTGCTAAACATAATAATCTCAAGTCTAAAAAAACAAACCCATTACCGAAACTAATAAGATTGCATACACAAAAGGCATACTTTCATAAGGGACCAAAATGGAAGCTATTCAAAGTACAATCACAGACACTTGGTTTACTGATTGAGAGAGCAGTGCCATGGACTTTATAAAAGACTATATAACCAAAACGCATTGCTAAATGTATGAACAAACCCATGTCAACAATAATTACTTAATTAGGTTAGATAGATAGAACATACTTTATACATCTTCTCAAGCCTTAAAGAAGATCAACTCATCACTTAATTAGCTAATTTAGAATATAACATAAACAACCCAAAAACTTGTATCAACCACAATTATCTACCCTACTAAAGGCAACAATGTGGATCGAATCAATTCACAATAAGCAAAAGTCATCTCCAAAATCTTTGAACAAGATGAAATAACACAATTACTCTTGGATGGATAGTCTGGAAACATAATTGATTAAAGATCGTCTTACACAACTGTGAACAATGCAACTCTCACAATCAAAACTGATAAACCAAAACACTAAAAAACCAAACAAACAAAGTAAAACAATGTCTTAGAAAGGACAGAGCTTTCACAAAGAGGCAAAAGTAAGACAGCTTAGAAACCAAGCTTGGTTCTGCGCCAGTGTCTACGCTTTGCGTTGTACCTGAAAACCATAAAACAAGTCCCACAGTGAGATTCACTGACTATGACCTAATCGATCAACAACAGAAAAAGAAACAAAAAAAATCATAAGAAACCTGATGGTATTGTCAGTGCGAAGACGAATCCAGTGAGGGATTGGCCTGTTCTGCCTCATTTTCTTCGCAAGCTTCTTCTTAATCATAAAGGACTTGTGAGACGGCTGTTTCATATAACAAATATCACAAACTCATTTCAAAATCACATTTCATACTGAGCACGATCCAAAGTAAGCTCAAAGTAGAGAAGATGTACCATCTTGAAGACCTGCGATCTTGGTTATGGGTCAGAGCCGTAACGAAGAGTAACCCTAAATCTGAGAAAGAAGACCGTAAAAGGTAATGACTGTGGATTTTATATGGGGACACGTTTTTAGGGTTACGGATGGTTTTAGTTGGGCTGGACAAGGCCCATTGTTTCAGGCCTTCCTCGACTGGGTGTTTTGTTTCTTTTGGCGTTAAACCATCAATACTCTAGTCTTTCATTTTGAAGGAAAACATACAAATTCCAGTAATGAATTCATCTTAATATATTAGGTTTCAATTGATGACCACATTTACGATAGTGAATCATTTTAATATTAGGTTTCAATTGGTGATCATATTTTATGAACAAATTTATGGTAAAATTCTTATTCCTTAATTTTTATATCAAGTATGTTAAATTTTTTTCAAATTACAGCCACTCTATTCCTCTCATTCAAGAATGAAAAAAGATTATGAAGAAAAAAAATCGTCTTGGGAACATAAATTCACGTATTTCTGTTTATTATTTACTCAATTAAATTTTTGTTCCTTATTTTATTTATTTTTCTGTTCAGTTAAACGGTTGCTAGTTGAAGTACATAATTTTAATTGTAAATTATATAGTTTTTATGAATGTAAAAAGATTAAATATTTATGTTTTAACAAAATTATTAAATTTCATAATTCAGTAATAAGTTTGTATATATTATTTTATTTTAGTTTTTTAGAAACTCAACTTAGGTATATAATAATGATATAGTTAAAATATTATTTTTGTGTAAATAAAAAACATTATTAGAATTAATAATAAATATTAATAATAGAATATATATATATATAATATTCTTTTCGAGGTGAATAATGGAGAAACTATTAGAGTAAAACATAAACTCAACATGAGTTTACTTCATTGTAATATTTATTTTTTGAAAAAAATCTAATAATGTAGTGTTTTTAACAATAAATATTTTTTGAATTTATTTTATTTTTTTATTTTGTAGCAAAAAAAAATTACTTATGTCTTTTTTTTGAAAATAACTTTCTTTACTAGTGGGATTTGTCTTTTTATGTTGGTATTGGTATTTTTGTACTTTCAGTTCGCCACAAGACGGGAGAAAAACGTTGGACCAATTTCAGATTCATACAAGAATTCAAGAGTCAACATAATATCTTCTACAAACAAGTATATAATAATCTTTTCAAAAAGGGGATATAAATCTACTTATTAACGTGTTCAACGAATTTTCTTACAAAAAAAAAACGTGTTCAACAAATTTACCAAATCAAAAGCAATATGATCAATTCAAAATTGACGACTTAACCCATGTAAGCTTAGTGGATGTTCCCTACATATAAATACACGACTTTACAAATTACAAAACTAGTTTAGACAAAAAAAAGAAACGATAAACAAAAAAATGTACGTGGTTCGGTGTATCATTTTGATGATTCTCTTGTTCTTTGCTTCATCAAACTCAGTCTTGGCTCGATTAACATTCGATTATAAGTCTACCAGTACTAGTAAGTTTCCAATCACCAGAAGCTTCTTTTTTCCATTCGATTTTTTTTGCTGACAATTTCTGTCATGTTGGGAAAGAAACAGGAGATCATGTTTGGGATAAAAAGTTCGTCAGCGAGATAAAGAGTCGTGCAGACCGCAGCGTTTCACTGCCCGCGAAAGGAAGAATTCACCCCGGTCCCGGCAACCACATCTAGTCGGCTGATCGAAAATGTAGTGTCCCGGAGATGCATTGTTCCTATAACCAGCTTCGTATATGTAAAAAATATGATCATCATTCATGTGTAAATATTTTTCACCTTGTTCAAATAAATTTCTTCTTGAATTATGTAGTTGAATAAGGCTTTTATTGACGAGGGTATTATAACTCGATATTCTTCAAGAACCTTCATTATATATATTTTGTGATTAAATCTTATATTGATTAATCAAAGAATAATGGGTATTTGATTAATCAAAGAATAGTGGGTATTTACAAATGAGGGATACTATAGTAGCAAAATGTAGAATGTAGATATTTTGACACCGCCGTATGAAAGAGGAAAACAAACTATAGTAAGCATGGACGATGACCAAGTGAGAAGGTTCGGTTATGAATCCTTTTGCCAATCCTAGGAATCATTGTCCTTGTATCCAGATAAATCATCTGATGCCGTCGGGAGTTTCTCTATCTCAACAAAATATAAACAGTAGTATGAAACAGCAACCTCTTAAGAATGGTATCTAACCCGAGTCTAGAAGGTCTTAGCAAGGACAAGATAGTTTCAGTCCAGTCCGGAGTGGCATTTGTGCCAAGAGTTGTCCTGATCGTGAATGCCCAAGGGCATGCAAAAAACAAATGATCTAGAAATAAATTTTCGTTTGTATATATATATATATATATAAACTGTTTATCTTTTATAGATAATCTAGCAAAGTCAGCAAGACACAGAAATCAAAATATGTAATATCTTGGTCTTCTTTGTATTTTGTAATCCTATCAATAAAAATTGGGTTGACAAACAATTTTTTTTAAAAGATAAATTCTTGCTCTACTGTTTGTTTGTTTGTTTTTTCTTTCTAAACCCAATATAGATTAGAAAAAAAAAAAAGATTAGAAAAATTAAAAACACGACTATCAATGTGTTTGTGTGATAGACTGATAGTCATGTTTGGTTCCTAGTTTTAAGTAAATGTTTATTCTTGATTTGAGTGCTGAAGATCTTGTTGGTTTCTACCTAAGATGTGTCTCAGTATCAATATTTCTCATGGTTTTGAACCTTGTTAACCTGAATTCGTTTTCCTGTTTTGAGCCTTGTTAACCTGAATTCATTTTCCTGCACATGAGTCTCCAAGCACAGGCATCTAGTTAGGTCAAATTTTACTGCTTTTCCATAACTATCGTATAATTTTGCACTTGAGGCAAACAAGCTACGGCTAGATGCCTAGATCCTTCGAAGCAGAAAACACATTACATGTTTATCTAATCAGCCAACTTAAACATTCCATTATCATTTCATTCATCCACGCTAGGGATACAAAAACACTACCATGAAGACAATGTGCTTAGGAACTTTAGTACATTGAAATGAGAGATAAAAACATACAAATATATAATTCATTTTCTTTTTGTACATTTCTCATAACATCTCTCCTCTATAAGTAATTGTACCAAGAAAAGTGACCTACACCCAAAAGGTCCATAATGACTTCAGAACAAAGCACGAGCATGCCCATGTATGATTGATACTTTGCTTGGCATTTTCCTCTGTTTCTTTTGTCCTCTTCATAGACAATAATTAATTTTTCAAATAATGATGATAAGAATCAAGTCTTGCCGCTTACGCTCGGCGACTTCTGGTCTGGAGCTCTAGGTGCAGTCGGTGCAGCACAATGTTTTTTACTTTTCTTAGAACCCGAAGTAGACGAAGAAGAACAAGTATTGTTACCAGTTGATTTAGCTCGAATATGCGAACGATGACTATCAGGTGTAGAAGAAGACGAAGAAGTAGAGAGTAAAGGACCTGATCGAGACCGGTTTCTCCTTTTCTTCTTCTCTTCTTCTGAAAGTTCTCCTTTTACCACTCGCCTCACTTTTGTCTCGTTGAAGCGTGGTGGTAACACACAGTTACATAGAACCCCTAACACAAATTCAGACAAAAAGCAAAAACCTTTTATTACATTATGATCTTTCTCACACACACAATGATAATAAAAACTTGGTTTGGTTTTTACCTAAGCGAGCAAGTCGGTTAACCCATCTAGGGATAGGTTTCTGAGTAAGTTTAACACAAACTTCATTGCAAAAATGGTTGCAGTTCCTTGAGATGAGATTATACTTGTTTCCTCTATACTCTTCAGCTAGTTTCTCCATAAAGACTCTGACTTCTTTAGCAGCCATGTCTGTTTTCCCAACGAGAATCGATTTCCTAAACGTGAAACCAGGACACTTCTTTGGCTCCACTTCAAAGATCCCTGTGCTTGGAGCCTCATGTGCTCCAAATGCATATTCAACTCCATGAACTACAAAAAAAAAAAACATTTGATTCCATCACAAAACTATACTAGTTTCTCTCAATTGAACCAATACACCTAATCAAAATCACTCTGGTCAATTCAAGTCAAATTCTCTAGAACCAACATCAAATCTAGTTTCAAACAACCAAACTTTATCATCGGTCTCAAACACTACAAGTAGATTCGAACAGCCAAACAAAGAAACAGAAACTGACCTTCAACACCAGAATGAAAGACACCGAGTCCGAGCCAGTAACCATAAGCATTCAAGGGAGTTAGATCGTAGACATTCAAGTAAACCGGAAGCAAACCGGGTTTCTCCTTCTGTCTAACCGAACCCTTCAAGCACAACATCTCTCCCACGCTTCAATACATCATTCACCGATCGGGAACCGGAGATTTCGGAGAGAGGGTAAACGAGTGAAACCAGAGAAGGGTAGATCCGGGATTTAAAGATGAGAAGCTTTTTTTTAAAAGGTTCTTCGTCGTTTCATCTTCTGAACTGGTTTCTGAAGTTTCGAGGAAAGTGGGTGTTTCTATTGCGAAAGCAAAAGCGTGTTGTGTTCTGTCTCTAATGCGCTTCCTTGTCTTATGTCGACGATGTTCTTCGACCCTTTACTTACTTTACCATCCGTTTCTGTTAATTTCGTTTATATACGGTAATAAAATATTATTTTATTATTTATTTTCAGTGACCATTTGCATTTATTTTCGGGTAATAAATGTGAAATTACCAAAGATTGTGAATGTTTGTATATGAATAGTTGATATTTCTATTTCAAAATGTATTTTGCATATTTGTTGATTTGTGAACATCTAATCTTATTATAGTGATTTATTATTAAATTAGAGTATTCAATTTATTATAGTGGATACACATTTACAATCTAATCATTTTAGTCTGATGCATAAAATAGGCTAAAGTACATTATATATTAACGGGTTTTATTTAATTTTAGCCATTTTTAAAGTTAGATCTATTTTAAAAAATCACATTTCATTTTTTTCTAATTAACATGTTGACATCATTAAAACATCACATCTTATATAATCATCATATTTAACAATATCAACTATAAAATAGTCTTAATTTTTTTTAATAAAAAACCTGTTAACAAAAAATCTAACAAAATATTTTAAAAGTTTAAAAAATCTAAAATAATTTGTTAATTAATTTCGTAATTAATAGTATAATATTATTTACAAATTAATGTTAATAATATTTTATTATAAAAAATAAAATAAAATGTGCATGCTTTTTCATAAAATTTCTAACTATAGTCTATATTATTTATGTTGTTCAAATGAGTCTATTTTATTAAAAAAAGTAAAATATGGATTAGATATAAAAATATATTAAATTGATAAATTAGCTTACTTTTTTTTACAAAAAATGATCATTCATTTGAAATACCATTCAACATTGAAATGGGTTAAAATTTCTAAATTGTGTATAAAATAAGAAGTTTAAATTATTAAAATAAGAAATATAAATTATCTAAACATAAAAAAACATTTACTTATAAAATGCTGCTATATACTAAAATTATAGATGATAAAGTATATTTTTTAAAGCACAAAAAGGAAATATAAATGATCCTAAACAAATATATGTTTTATAGGATAAACCTAAAAACATTTTTGTTACAACTATAGACCTTAAAAATACAAATAACCAAAATACACTTAAATGTTTTATGAAAAGAAGTAAATATATACGTATACCCCTAGGGTTAATTAATCTAGACATTATGGTTTAGAGTTAAGAGGTGGGGTTTAGTGTTTAAGGTTTAGGGTTTATAGTTTAGGAGTGAGATTTTGGAGATAAAATTTCAAATTTTAAAATATAAAAAAACTAATATTTTCATAATAAAAATGTTATTTTAATCATTTTAGTTTTTGAGGTATATTTTTGTGACAAAAACTTAAAAAGACTGTTTGAGATAATTTCCCCTAAAAAGGTCTATTTGAGATAATTGTCCCTAAATAAAATTTAAAGTATTCTGTATGAAAAATGGAGAGACTAAAAAGAATATATTTTGATAATGGTTTTCTATTTGTTGTCAAAAAAGGATTGTTTATTTGATTATTTAAGATCATGAAGTTATTGTACCAAACTTGGAATTATATTAGTATGTAACAACAAAGGAAACGAGCTTTTATATATTAATAATGTCAAATAAAAAACCTAAAAAATAAAATTATATAAAGACATTATATATAATGTTAAAATGTAAATATTTATAATTATATCAAGTTTATATATTTATAAAATGTATATAATATCCGTACGAACGTGCGGGTCAATCTCTAGTTATCAGTTAATTACTGTGAAAATATATTTATCTTTGTGATATGTAATTTTTATGCAAATATTCAAATTTTATGTTATTTAACTAGTGTTTTAGTCTAATGTATAAAAACTAAAATAAGATTGTACCTAAACAAGTTACATAGTTACGATTTTTTTCTCTATAACAAAAAGTTATTATCTCATCAGAGACAAATGGTGGTTTAGGAAGTCAAACTGGAATAGATTAACTAATATAAATAAAATTCTTATAGTTCGAGTTAATGAATCAACAACTACACAAGTTATATAAGTGTAAAATTCATATTTAACATACTAAAAATCAAGTTTAACAGAAATTCATATATTATTTCACACAATTCAAAAGCATATTAAGCTCAATACTTCATAAATATAAGTTACTACACAATCCAAAACATACTAAAATGTAAACCTAATTTACTCAACTCCATAACTTCAGATCATACAGCTTTAATTCTTCTCCCTCCTCCTCTTCTTCTTTATCTTAACCTATCAATATGAAAACATGTAACCTATACAGATTATGGCTCATTATACTTACATACACATAAGCAGATTAGAAACCATGTAAACTTATACGGATTACGACGTATTATCTTTGTATATACATTGTATGGACGATGAATCTTATCTACCAATATGACTTGTGAAAGGATTTGAAAGAGATCAGGAACTTCTATTTTATAAGTGGTTCAAGTCTTTTTCTTTACTTGTGTGAGGAACCCAACTTGCCACACTAAACAATGACTCAGAAAACACTATTGTTATAGAAATACAAAATACATCACATGCCATTTGGAACAGTATCTGGAATAGCCACCTTGTCCGCCTTCGGAGTTCATCTCATCTCGGGCTAGGAGTATAAAGGTAACACCCAGCAAGAAGAATCTCCAAAAGGCTTGACAGCAAGCCAATGTCGAACACATATGCTATGAAGAATTCCTTCCAAAATACTTTCCTCATTCCCATAGGTCAAGCTTTCCTTCTCATACTAACAATCTTTCTTGCTGACTCAGACGGACCTATGTGATCATCACCAATCAAACTAAGGTATCCGCCCACTGTAGCACTCCACAAGTTTATCTACGATCTCAGGCCACGTTCTCCTGCTCATAGACATGAAGACATCATGTTCATGAGGCATATCGACAAGCCTACCACATGGTCATGCCATGTGCTTCCTAGACCATACAATTCCTATCAAATAACGGGTTACACACCTACTCTAACATACTTTAATATTAGTTTTTAACCTATTTAGATTGACTTTGAACGATTTAAACTGGATTAGACCGATTTGAGCAAATTATATTAGATATTAAGAAAATCGCTTTGGCTATGACCGATATAGACAGGTTCCTTGAACCATGAACAAAACAAACATCTCTTTTGAAAGTATAAAATATACTCAAAAGTCAAAGTTTTGCTTACTTGCCAAAATTGACATCTCAAAAATTTGTAATGAAGTCTGATGTTCCTAGATTTCACATGAAGTTTTTTCTCCAAAGTCAAACTTGAAGTCTCCTATCAAAAATCAAAGTTCTCCTCAAATGTAAAACTGACCTTTTTTACATAGAATTTGACTGAAAGCTACCCATGTTTTAAAGGCTAATGAGCGGATTTTAGATGACTCGTGCAAAACTAACAATTTGTTCAAAACCTACATGTTGGCTAGAAGTTCATTTTAAGTCTATATGGTGGAATCTATTTTGAGTGAAGTTTGTTTTCGCGATCTGAAAATGAGAAATCAAGTGAATAATTATCTAAATTCCGTGGGAGCACCTTGTTAGACTCTTCTACAACCTAAACCTTTGAATTTTAGAAATGCTATAGAAATTATGCTATTGTTTAAGCAAGAATCACCAAAATTTGAAAGTGAATTTGTGATTAAGATAACCAAAATTTGTTAGTTTTTTGGTGAAAGTGAAGAGGACATGAAAGATACTGAATTTTGTATGGAAATTGTGAGAGAAGAAAAGACAAAATTGGCATTTAGGAATTTAGAGCTTCAATTTTGCATGTTTATGATTATTGGCAAAATTGATGATGATGGTGTTTTCGTAAATAAATGAAGGTGTAAAGATGTTTGTGATATTTTTTTTTAATTTTTGAAAAAACCATTTTCATAAATAATTGATATTGTAAATCCTTGAAAGGGAAAATGATAAATATGATGGAAAAGCCACCACAAATTTTATGTCATTCTTAAACTCTTTTTAATCTCTATATTCACAAACAAAATCTGATTATTTTTGTTGTTATCAACAGCTATAAATAATAAATAGTTCAAAAACTGAAATGGAGCAAAATGTTACTATTATAGGTTGAGACTTTTTCATAAAAATATCAATATTCAAATAATTTAATTATTTATTTAATTTTTAATTACAAACAAAACAAAACAGAACCAGTAATAAAGAAGAAAAGTCTTTATAAAATTTTAATCAAATTTGTTAAACTTTTGTTTGAAGATCGATTCTTTTTATTATTTATTTTATCGTTTTTTATACTCAAAAATTTTATGTGAGATGTATAATTAATGCTGATGTGTTTAGTATGTTCGTTTAGGCAAGTATAAAATGGGTCATTTTTTGGTTCATCCTAAGGTTGTACCACTAGGTTCACCACTAACATAATAACCAATAAAAAATGTTAAGTCATATTATGTTTTAAAAATAAAAAGAGTACAAAAAATTAAAAAAATAATAGTAACTAGAAAAAAAAACAAAATTTAACGTTGTTAATACCGTCAGCATATCATAAACCCTAAACCAGAAAATAAACAAAATATTAAACTCTAAATAATAACCACTAAACTCTAAATTTCTGGATAAACTCTACACTTTGGGTAAATCCTAAATCTTTGGATAAATCATAAATCTTTGGGTAAATCCAAAATCCTAGAGCATACGGTTTATGGTTTTTCTGACACTAAATCATTAAAAAAACTAAACCTTATATCCTAATCACTATATCCTAAATTCTTAGATAAATCCTAATTTTTTGGATAAATCTTGAATCCTTGGGTAGATCCTAAACTCTAGGATTTGAGGTTTATTGTTTTGCTAAAAATGTTTAGGGTTTTTGTTTAGGATTTATGAGTTTGCTGGCGGTGTTAACAATGTTAATTTTTGTTTTGGTAATTACTACTCCATATGTTTCATTTAGTTGTCGTTTTAGGTTTTTACATACATATTAAGAAAATATTTAATTTTATATATTTCCAAAATAAAAACACAATTACATATACACCTAACCACATTTCAACTAATACAAA